CGCGGGGCCGGCTGTGTGTGCTGGGGAGGCTCTGCCCCTCCTCCCCCTCCCCGCGGCCCAAATTAAAAAACAACAAAAAGCAACTAATCACCCCCAAGCGGAGCGCTGCGCGGCGGGCGGAGGGCTCAGCGTGCGGCGCCCGGACTCAGCAGGCGGCGCGCATGGCTGGGCGCGGGCTGGGCAGGGCTGGGACGCGGGGCCGGCTGTGTGTGCTGGGGAGGCTCTGCCGCTCTTCTTCCTCAGCTCGGACGCCTGCTCGCCGCCACTGCCACCTCTGCCGCCGCCGCCTCTACATCCCGGCTCAAGCTACGCCGCCTCTGCCGCCGCCACCGCGCGCCCGCCCGGCCAGGAGCTCTGAACGCTGCCCGGGGGCTGCCGGCAAAACCCGGACCGGACTCGCCGCTCTCTCCTCCCCCCTCCACCTCCGCTCCCCTCCCTCCTCCCGCCGCCTCCCTCCCAGCGCAGCTCTGGCCACTTGGACGCCGCTGCCGCTGAGGCTGGAGCCACAGCCACTGCGCCTCCAGCTCCCCGCGCCCTGGTGAGGTCGGTGCAGGCTCAGCTCTACCCCCCGCCCCCGCGCACCCTGCTTCACCTTTTTTTTCCGCCCAACTTTACAAGAAAAAGGAAAGAGGGTTCCCCTCCACCCCCGCTTTGTGAGGGACGCCTGGCCTCGGCTTGGACACGCACCTTCCGGGAAAATCCACCCTCCCTCTGTCCCCTGTTCCACCCGGCAAGAAGTTGTGAGGGTCTGGAGGGAGGGTTTCCCCCGCAGCCCCCTCCCCCAGCTCAGGTGCGGCGGGCCTGAGGCTCCAAGCTAAGGGCAGTTGGGCCTAGGTGTTTTTCCAAAGACCCCACCCTTCCCGAATTTTGTGGGTCTACCCCGAGGAAATGGACTAAGATTCCTGCTCCCAGTTCACAGATGAGGAAACTGACTGAGAAGATACCAGCCCAATCTCTGGGTCGACTACATAGTGATGCCCCAGGACCGTGGCCTATACAGTGGAGTCTGAAACTGCCTGGAACGCAGCATCACACAGGAGATACTGGTTGAAAAAGAGCTGGAAAGCTCATCCCTGCTGGAGGAGGTGCCCAGTGGGGATGGACAGACTTGGGGCCATACATCTCGGCCCTTACTCCCATCTGTGCCCCCTCCATCTGCCCAGTTTAAGCTAATCCTCCAGCTGCAGATGCTTTCCTTCCAGGGACCCACAGAGTGAGCCCCAGGCTCCCATAATCCCAAACTGTCTATAATCCCGAAGTGGAAGTTCTCCAATTCTCTGGGATTTAGGGGGGCAGAATGGTACTGCAAGCTGAAAGTCAGGCCAGGCAGAGAAAACAATCCCCAGGCTCAAGATGAAGGAGAGGGAGGGACAGAGCAGTTAGGAAGCTGGCCCAGAGCCAGGCATGGTGGTGCACATCTGTAATCCCAGTACTCGGGAGGCTGAAGCAGGAGGATCAATGGGAGTTCAAGGACAGCCTGAACTGTGTAGCGAGACCCTGTCTCCAAAAAAAATAAACCAGCCTGAGGTTCCCAGATTAAACATTACAGAGATGAAGATCAGTTGGGGTCCAGATATCGCAGAGTTAGTTAACTGCTAAAACCTGGGCCCCTCTAGCGACACTGAGGCCTCCCTAGGACAAGTGTTGCTGCTACCTCTCCACCTGTGCAGCCTGGCCAGAACCAGGGAGCTTGAGCTTTGGCGAGCACCTACTGATGTCTTGAAACCTATATGTGGACTTTGGGGCCCTAACCTGTCCGGGGGTGGGAATGGTGTCAAAGGACAGAGTTCATCTGGAACATGCGGTCTGTGCCCTGCTCCTGCCAGCCCCTGCCAGCCCAGGCTGTGAGGAGGAGCTTCTCCCAGACATTGTAGACCTCCCCAATTTCTTCCTTGCCCAAATGCTGAAGTGTCCCGTCCTCTTACCTGCTGTACTGGTTTCAAGAATTGCTTCCTTACAGAGGTAGTTAGTCCTTCTCTCTCTCTCTCCCTTTTTTTTCCCCCAGTACTGAGAATCGAACTCACGACCTTGCACTTGCCAGGCAGGCACTGTGCCGCTGAGCTAAATCCCCAGCCCCTCTCTCTTTCTTTCGATAAGGTCTAACTAGGTATTCCAAGTTTGCCTTACTATGAACTCAGGCTAGCCTGCTTACGCTGCAGCCCAGCTAGCCTCAGATCCCAGCAATCTTATCACCACAGCCTCTGAGTGCTGAGGTTACAGGTGTGTGCTACCATACCTGGCAGCAGGATTCTTTAAGGCCACTCCAAATAAATATACCATGTGAGTAATGGTATAGAAACAGTTTTAAGACAGTGAACACTCCCAGAAGTTCACATCTAAGCTTCTTGGATTTTTTGTTTTGTTTTTTGAGATAGGGTCTCAATATGTAGTTCATGAACTCACTGTGTAGTCCAGCTGGCCTCGAACTCACTGCAATCCTCCAGCCTCAGACTCCCAAGTGCTGAGACTACAGGCATATACCACCATGCCCAGCCACACGTCTAAGCTTTTTTTTTGTCTTTTTTTGAGACACGCTCTCACTAGGCAGTTCAGGCTGGCCTTGAGCTCACTTTGCAGCCCAGGCTGGTCTCAAACTCACAACAGTCTTCCTGCTTCAGCCTCCTGAGTGCTGGGATTACAGGCATGTCCAGCTACATCTAAGCTTCTTAAAGATGGTATGTTCTACCTGGTCATGATGGCACACATCTGGACATGGTAGCGCACATTCAGGAGGCTGAGGCAGGAGGATCACCATGAATTTGAGGCCAGCCTGGACTACATAGTGAGTTCAAGGCTAGCCTGCACTACAAAGTGAGATCCTGTCTCAAAACAAACAAAAAGTTAAAGATGGACATTTTGCATGGTGTTCAACACCTGTAATCCCAGCATTCTGAGAGGCTAAAGGAAAAAGATCACAAGTTTGAGCCCCCCCTGAACAATTTAGCAAGACCCTGACTCAAGATTAAAAATAAAAAAAGACTGTGGATGTAGCTAAGGAGGGAGGTCCTGGGTTCAGTCCCCACTATGAAGGGGAAAAAAAAAGAATGCACACCCAAGGAAAGGTCCATGCTGGGACTGGTGAAGAAATGCAGAGAGGAGCCTCACCACAGGGAATTGCTGACTATTAATTAAACACTTATGTTGAGACTTCTACCCCCCATCCCCACCCTGAGACAAGCCCAAGTAGCTGCAGGCAGCCGTGGTAGAAGCCCAGGCATTCCAGCTGCAATGGCTTCCTTGGGAAGAGGTAATAACTTCCCAGCCCAGTTCAGGGGCTGGGGCTGGGGCTAAGGCTAGAGCACAATGGTAAAGTACTTGCCTAGCATGTGCCAGGTCCTGGGTTTCATCACAGGATGGGGTTGGGGGTGAAGAATACAGGGTGAATCTTGGAGTCTTCCTCTTCTCCTGGAAGTTAAGAACTCGGAGGGGATGCTCAGTGATAGAGCAATTACCTAGCATGAGTGTGGCCCTGCATTAGATCCTTAGCACCATAAAACTGAACAAGAATTGGGAACACCCAGACCCTCACCTATCCAACCCATGTGGGAGAGAAGAAAGGGACAGAACTGGCCACATGGAGGCTGGCACATTGATTCATACTTATAATCCCAGCACTTGGAAGGCTGAGGCAGGAGGATCACGAGTCTGAGCTCAACCAGGGCTGCATAGTTCAAGGCCAGTCTGAACTACATAGTGAGACCCTGTCTCAGAGGAAAAAAAAAAGGGAAGTCACCTAATTCACTATTGCTGCCCCACCTCCAAAGAGGAATACTTGCCTCACTTTGTTATTAAACTGTGTTTGTTTGAGACAGGATCTCACTGTGTAGTACAGGCTGGCCTCCAATTTAAAATGCTCTTGCGTCAGCCTCCCAAGTACTGGAGTTACAGGTGTGTGCCACCACACCCATTTTGTTATTAAACTTTTTTTTTTTTTTTTTTTTTTTTTGCCTTTTTGAGACAGAGTCTCACTATGCAATTCAGGCTGGCCTTTTTTTGTGTGTGTGTGTACTGGGAATCGAATTCAGGACCTTGCGCTTGCCAGGCAGCACTGTGCCGCTGAGTCATATTCCTGGGCCAGTTCAGGCTGGCCTTCAACTCACTTTGTAACCCAGGCTGCCCTTGGACTTGCAATGATCCTCCTGCCTCAGCCTCCCGAATACTGGGATTACAGGCATGTGCCACCATGCCCAGCAGTTATTAAACTTTCTGTTGAGTTCTTTCAACCAATCAATCAGCCTTCAAGTCAAGAAGCCTCCAGCACTTTTGAGGAAAAGTCCCTTTATTCTCCTACCCTGTTTTCTAGGGAGGAATTGCATGTGGTTCTGTTATTTATTTATTTATTATATGGTACCAAGAATCGAACTCAGGGCCTCACACTTTGCCAGGCTGAGCTACATCCTGGCCTACATGTGGTTCTGTCTCTTTTTTGTGTGCCAGGAATCAAACACAGCCTTAGCATGTTAGGCAAGCAGTCTATCACAATTGTGATTTTTTTTTTCAGTACTGGGGATTGAACCCAACCTTTACACTGAGCTACATCCTCAGCCCTTTCTTTCTTTTTTTGAGATAGTCTTACCAAGTCATTGATTTGCCCAGGTATGCTCCAACTTGTCCTGTTGCCTCAGCCTCTAGAACACGGACTACGGCCCTTAAACCATCCATCTACCTCTGATGTGCGCTCTAGAATCCTGCTGGTAATACTCATGCTTATCATTTACAAAGCCTTTACCTTGAGCAGGGTGTTACATTAAACTCCTTATAACATCCCCATTTTTTCAGATGAGGAAACAAGTGAGCTGAGTACTGAGGTCGTTTCTTAGCCCTGAGACTTGCTGTCTTCTTTTTTTTTTTTTTTTTTTTTTTTGCTGTCTTCTTGAGGCTTCCATACAGATCTGACCTGGGGCTCACCACCCACTTCATGTCCTCTGGTGGCTCCTCAGAGCCCAGGGATCAGCACAAGCTCCTTGTCCTGCTGGGTCCTCTTCCTTTCCCCTAGCCAGCACTCTCTTCCCTATAATCCTTGGGCCCTGCTGAAACCATCAGAGAGCCAAAGAGCATCCTTGGGTTTTCACGGCTTCAGTGCTGGGGAAGGAATCAAAGGCCTCCCACAGGCTTGGCAAGCCCCCTGCCACTGCACCACCCCGCCCCAGGGTCCTCAAAGTTCTCCTGAGCTCCTACTAAGGACCAGTGCTGGGAACCCTCTGTTACTCCAGCCTGAGTTTAGACTGCACCTACAAGGCCAGCGCTGCCTCTGCAAGACAGGAAAAGGTACCTGCTTTGGACACACAGCCTCTGGAGCTCGCTTTGCTAGGTGCCTCTTTTTTGTTGTTTTTTTTCTGGTACCGGGAATCGTACTCATGACCTTGCACTTGCCAGGCAGGCACTGTGCCGCTGAGCTAAATCCCCAGCCCCGCTAGGTGCCTCTTTGAAGTACATGCACTGCATACCTATACTGTGACCCAGCTGGGCCTCTCCTCTGTCTTCAGCTGCAGCCACAGTGACCACACTGCACAGAAAAACTCTAGGGGAATGGCAGTGCTGGGTAGCTGAGCCCAGGGCTGCACAAAGGCTAGGCAGGTGCTCTACCATCACCCCCAGCCCTGGAAATAGCTTTCATCTGCTCCTCTATTTTCCCATCCACTCACTGCCACCATGCATGAGAATTCCTAGAGGATGAGGGAGGGCTTCCCACCTGCCCTGGGCCTGAAACCTGGCTCTAAGTAGGTACCCATAACAATGGCAGCTAGTGTCTTTCTGAGCACTTAGTGTGGGTAGGGCATCATGCTAATGGCTTTCTTACTCTTCAGGAATAGTCACTGGCCCAAGGTTACAAAGGAGCAAAACTAAGACTTTTTTTTCTTTATTTAAGACTAGGACTTTTATGTTTGTTGGTTTATTTATTGTCTTTTTGAGACAGGGTCTTGCTATGCACTTTGGGCTGGACTTGAGCTCACTTTGTAGCCCAGGCTTGATTTTTTTTTGTTTGTTTGTTTTTTTGTTTTTCTTCCGTTACCGGGAATCAAACTCACAACCTTGCGCTTGCCAGGCAGGCGCTTTTGCTGCTGAGTTAAATCACCAGCACCCCCAGACTTGTTTTGAACTTGCAATGATCCTCCTGCCTTAGCCTCCCGAGTCCTGGGATTACAGGCATGCACCACTATACCCAGCTTGTTTGTTATTTTTGATTTTTTGAATAGGTAGTTCAAGCCTAGGCATTGCTGTGGCCCAGGCTGGCCTCAACCTTGCTAGTGATCCTCCTGACTCAGCCTCCCAAGTACTGAGATTACAGTGGTGAGCCACCACACCTGGCTCGCAAAAGCAGGATTTTTTTTTTTGTCTTTTTGAGACAGGGTCTTGCTCTGCACTTCAGGCTGGCCTTGAGCTCACTTTGTAGCCCAGGCTGGTCTTGAACTCACAATGATCCTCCTGCC